ATTTAATCGTTTTGACAGTGAAAGGATGGGACTGAGATGCCAACCTAGTAGCATGTTTAAATTCATGCAGTTTGTGAACTAGTGAAAGTAGCTTGTCAGAGCAGTTAGCATGAAAGTATTCATAGAAAAGACAGAGGGCAGTGACAGCATGTCTGTGAGAGAGCAACTGTAAACAGGATGCCAGATCAAGGCCAACCACATTGCATATCTGTTTCTGGATTTTGTGATAAGTTAAAAGATTCTGTTTTTAACATTCAAAGACTGGTTATAGTTGTAAACATGAATACAACTGTTTTTTTTTAATCATTTCACCCCAAGCAAGATGATAATGCCATTAAAATGTAAAGAGTTACTGGGAGTGGAGGAGATAGAGAAGACTTTAGTGAGAAAAAAGGCCAATGAAAAAACAAGATTCATGAAGTCAGAAGATGGTGATTGTCTTTAGAACTTATGGTTACATCTAGTTAGTTCAACATTAAAATGATGAGACCTAACTGCCAATCTAGTAGCATGCTTAAATTCCTACAGTCAAGGTACCAAAGAGGAAAGATCATCTGAATAATTGCCATGAAAATATTTATAGAAAAGACAAAGGGAAGTCATGTCATAATAGTGGGAAAGTAAGTGAAGTCAAGATGCCAGGTCAGGACCAATTAAATTGCAGACCATTCTTTGGATTTTGTTAAGAATCTTGAGATATATAGCAGAAGCACCAGACCAGATATGGCAGCAATATTCAATTCATGGATGAATGGTAGACTCATAAATGTGCAAGATGGATTCCTGACAAGATAATTTGTCTGGCACAACACCAACTCTCCTAGCAGTAGATTCATGGGTTACTGTGAGTGAAAGAATATGAGAAAAAGGACAATAATGATCACGTTCAGGAAGACAGGAGATAGAGATTTATGCTGCATTTAAATCTTCCAAGATCATAGGTGGCGGGAAAGCAAGAAACTGGAAAAGAGTTCTACAAGCAAGAAAAACTAATAGAATACAACTTATGATTACATCTATGGTTACAACAGTAAAACCATGAAATCTACTAGCACACTTAAATTCATACAGTCGAGGTAGCAAGAAGGCAAGCTCAGAACAATTGCCATGAAAATATTTATAGAAAAGGCCGAGGGAAGCCATGTGATGGTGCGGGGAAAGTGACTGAAGCAGAAATACCAGGTGAGGACAGATTACATTACAATTGTAGAATATACAGATAGAAATGTTTTAAAAATTAGAAAAAGTTGGTGTTTTTTTGTTAATTCATCAAGTGCACTTATTTTCTTATTGCCAGAAATATTAGAGCAGAAAATGACTTAAGCAAGGTGATAAAGCCACTAAGAGGTTACTAGGAGAGGAAGAGAATGAGAAAACGTTAGTAAAGCGAAAGGACAAAAGAACAGGTTTCTGGAAGAGAGAAGATCGTGATTGGTGTTGCATTTAATTCTTTGAAGATCATAGGTTGCAGGGAAGCAAGAAACTGGAAGAGTTCTAAAAGCAAGAAAATAAACTATTAGAATAGAACTTCTGATTACATCTAGTTAGTATGACATTAAAATGATGAGACCTAATTGCCAATCTAGTAGCATGCTTAAATTCCTACAGTCAAGGTACCAAGGAGGAAAGATCATCTGAATAATTGCCATGAAAATATTTATAGAAAAGACAAAGGGAAGCCAAGTCATGGAAGTGGGAATGTAAGTGAAGTCAAAATGCCAAATCAGGGCTGATAACATAACAGATCCTTCCTTGGATTTTGTTGAGAATCTCGAGATATATAGCTGAAGCACCGCAACTGATATGGCAGCAATATTCAATGCATGTTTGAATTTATTGAATGTTTAATAAAAGCAATCAATATAATTGAGTGGATCAATAAGTCCATTGCCTGATCTATTTATTAAATTAATTTTGACCAGGAATCTTCACTGTATAATGTTTGAGTTATGTTATCTAAGAAAAAAAATGTGACTTGACAAGAAAGGATATTGTTTAAAAAAAGAAATATTTGTTGTGCAAAATATATGCATTTTTTCCATCCTGCATCCTCCCAGGAATCTGTCCCACAATGCAACATTTCTGGAAAAGATGCTGTCTGAGTGGAGCTTCTTCTTCACCAGTGGAATATGAAGGGAATGAGGATGACTGAACTCATTGTATGTGGTCTGGTGGGTTCCTCACTGTGAAGGTCTGGACTGGTGGAACCAAAGAATGTAATTTGCCAGAATATTTGCCATGAAAATAGCAATTGAGTAGTGAAAGGCTAGCAAGTTTCAGGGGTTGTGGGGTGAAAAACAATTTATCATGCACAAGGCCACACAAAAGCTTTTGAACATTTTCTCACGGCTGGAAAATGAAGATTGGCCATCTCCAGCCAGGATGTGGCAGCAATACTCCATTTTGGGACTGATCTGGCTCGTAGCAGGAGGAGTCAGGTATTTTCTGGAGTAATACAAGAAACCAACCATTTTCTCAGCATCTTTCAACTTACATGTTTCTATACTTTGACTCACCAATTATATCATCTATCTGTACCCATTGAAATTCCACTGGTGTTGATATCTAAGATTATCCATAATCTCATGCCTCTGAATTTCTTTCATTCTTTGCCTGTATCTTCCCATTTTCTCCCTTATCCCTTCGAATCTTTATTGTTTTCCATTTTAGGTGGGCTTATGGAAATTTCTCAGGTGTTGACATCTTGGTATTTAATTGTCTCCCCACAGTGATGTGATGTGACACAAGGTTGCAACCGAGTGCATATACCAGACCAATGCCAAAATTTACCAATTGGTTGCACTGGCATTGGTATCACTACCGATACCCCCTTGCTAGTGCAATGAAGTGGATAATGCAGCTGGCAATTGTTCCTCGGGACTGAGCACCTCTTAATATTTTTCCCAGTTGCACTCTGAGTTGTGCTCTGCTCAAAGACAGAGACACAACTGAGAGATAACAGTACAAGATCAATACAGGCCAAGACTACTAACGTGTTGACATCCAAGGTTATCCATGCTCCTGCTCTACTGTTAATTGTATCTTCCCATTCTTTTTTTCTTCATTTTTTTTATCTTCATTGCTCATCCATGTTATTATCTAAATATTCCAAAGAATTAATGGATTTTTATTTATTCATCCGACATATTTTTATTTCTATAAACATTATTTTTAGTGACTACCCATATTTGAGTAGATACTCGATTTACATTTTAAACAGTATTTTTATTTCATCCTGAACATTCAAGGAATCTTATTAAAAAAAAATCCACCTTTTGGCAAAGAGTAAAAGAAAAGCAGTGGCATGAGATTATGGATAATCTTAGATGTCAAAACCAGTAGAATTTGAATGGGCACAGATAGATCAATTAATAGGTGAGTCAAAGTATAGAAATATATAGGTTGAAAGGTGCTGCCTTTCTGATACCAAGCCAGAAAACCTGTCTTTCATTTACACCACCTGCACATCCAAGCTTAAAAATAAATCGAAAAGCTCTTTAGAAATTGTTTTGCTTATTTTCAGATATGAAGTCAAACAGATATAGGTTTTTGAGAAAATCTGAATGATGGAATGTGCATTCCTTAAAAGGGCAAATAGAACATTGCTGGGCTGTGATGCTCTCTGTGGCCAAGCACCCTAAAGCTCAGCAGATCAAACGGTTTCTTCTACAAAGGGGGATGCTAGTTCAAACCCTCCTAGAGAGCAAATTTTCTTTATTGTTTTCTTGAATGTTGTGTGCAGGATAGTAAACATAAGACACACTGTTTAAAATAAAAAAAAAAAACAGGGCATCTATTTCAAACATGGTATCCACAAAAAATAATATTTGAATAAAAAAATGATTAAAAATAGATCCATTAACTGTTACACACACACACACACACACACACACACATACAGCCTATATATATATATATATATATATATATATATATATATATATGAAGGTGTGGTTGTGTGTATGTATGTGTATATATATATTTATTGTGTGCATGTGTGTGTGCATATATATATATATATATATATATATATATAAAAGTGAACATAGAAGTCAACACTTAGAGACGACAGTCTGTTTCATACTAGATGCAATCGTTAGGCCCATTTATATATATATATATATATATATATATATATATATATATATATATATATATATATATATATATATATACAGACAGAAATATCTCTCACATAATAGTAAGACATTAGCTAGCTCAAGACAGCATTGCCACTAATATCTTATCATGTGGGAGGTATTTCTACCACACCCTGAATATATATATATATATATATATATATATTGCTGATATCTCCTGATGAGTGGACTGAAGATAACACCAATCATCTAAGTGTCAGATTTGATATATATATATATATATATATAGATAGATAGATATCATTTGATTTGATTTGATTTATTTTTATAGGTTATCACTAATTTTACAAGAAAAAAAAAGAAAAGGACTGGAAATCGAACACTTGGTGATAGATTTTAGATCACCACTAACCACCTTACTTGTTCAGGCATTAACAGTAATTCCCATAGTCAACAACAGTATTTTACAACTAATGTGTAAATGGTTATATGACTAACAGCAAAACAAACATAGCCAACTGAATTGATCTGATTTAATTAGGTTTTTTATGGTTATCAACCCTTTGTGCATTATTTAAATTTGAAACATACTTTTTATTATGAGAATTATTCTTTTATTTCTTTTTTTGCAAGCAAATATTGCCTTAACAATTTTTTGAGAATAACAATGATTTTGCAAGATATGCATCTTACTGTTTAACATCTAGCTGTGGGTAGGAGATACATTCATACCTTTCCCCAGGTTATTTATGTGTAAGTGAATGTAATGAACCCAACTGGAATTCAAACTTGGCTCATTCTGAGCCACTATCCATTATTCCACTCACCCATCTGTAAATATATAAAAACAGGGCCATCTATTATTAAAGAACTTGTTCTACACAACTACTTTTTCTAGAGCTTGTGGCCATATCATGTTGACACATTGATTCCCATATGATCACCAAAGTTAAGCAATGTTGAGCCTGGTCAGTACCTAGATGGGTAACCACTTGAGAATATCAGGTGCTGTAAGCCTGGATATGCAGCTGGTGTAATAAATAATGGCTCAGAGAATCGAGTTCCAATTTTTGTTGGGTTTGTTATATTCACTTATGTGCTAATACCCTTGGGAAAGGTATAAATCCACCTCTTCTCTCCCAAGCTATGGGTTAATTAGTAAGATTTGCATCACTAAATCATTGTTATCTCAAAAAAAAAATCTTACAATCTAAAAATATTTTCTGGCTTTAAATAACCTGCAAAGGGTTGATAAACCGTAGAAAACAAATCAGTCAATCAAATACTGATTAGCTACACAGGCATTTTAGATTTATTTACATTCTCAGGGATATAAATGTATAGAAACTACCGTGGCCACAAAATGAGGGATCTGTTTATATATTGATAGTAATATAAAATTAATCTCCTACTTTATATCCACATTATAATTTCTTGTTTGTTTATAAAATTCTGATTAGGTATGAATCCTCCTCTTCTCCCCCACATATGGGTTAATTAGTAAGATTTGTAATTATTATTATCTCCAAAAAAAATTCTTACAAGCTAAAATTATTTTAAGCCTAATAATCTGCAAAGGGTTAATAAGCCATAGAAAACAATTGAATTAATCAAAATATTTTCTACACTATAGTGAATATGTATTTAAAAAAACAAACAAAAATAAAGTTATTGAACAAGTGTGGTGTATATTAATTAGGGAAAAGGAAGGAAAGTTAACCTAATGCTGAGAAGCAGAGATTCTTGCATATTCTCTTACTGTCAAATTTTTCATCATCAAGAAGATTAAAAAAGTGTGACAAGTCTATGCAAATGAGCCTGTTGTCTGAACCAATGAAAATTAAGCAAGAATGTTTTTCAGTGATGAAAGTATGTTTAATTTGGTTGGCTTTGATGATAAACAATATATCATATGGCATAGAGGTAATAAATTATTTCCCAAATGTATGGAAGAATCAGTCAAATATGGTGGTGGATGGGTAGTGGAAGTTCTTTAGTACTGGCGTTGATCCATGGTAAAATAAATGTTGTAGTGTATAAGAAAACCATACTATTGGTTGACTTAAACCTTGTGGATAAACTTGGGCTCTGTGGGTACTGAATAAACAAACGTGCCCAAGCAGATATCTGTAGCAGAGACTGGTTTGCAACTCTAGCAGATAGGTGAGCTCAGAAAACAAGAGTAGCCTGCTATATATATATATATATATATATATATATATATATATATATATATATATACATATACATATATATATATATAAACACACACACACACACACACACACACACACACACATATATATATATATATATATATAATTTAATAAGTTACAAACATTATGTCTGTTTATTTTGATATTAATCCTTTCATATTCATGAATATTTTCCGTATATTCATGAATTTGAAAGGATTATGATAAAATAAATAGACATAATGTTTGTAACTTATTCAATCAGACATGCCTAAAAAAGAATTTGCTGCATAAATACACATATATATATCTATCTATCTATCTCTCCCTCTATCTCTCTCTATATATATATATGCATATATATATATATGTATATATATATATATATATATATATTTTCTGTTTATACATTATTTTTATATCTATAATTTATTTAAGTAAAATCTCTGTTTTTAATTAAATAAATTATATCTATAAAATAACATATAAACAGAAAATATATTAAATAATTGTCAGGTTTAATCCATTTCATAATATATATATATATATATATATATATATATATATATATATAAAATGGAAGAGGTTATAGTAGTTCCAACAAGAGAAAAGTGTGTATATTAAAAAGAAGAGAGAAACCACAAACGTTTTTTGGTTGTAATGTGGATTTAAAAAAAAATGATGCTTTATTTTTTCATAAATATTTTCCATTATTATGGAAAATAAAGCATAATATCTTTTTAAAATCCACATTACAATAAAAATGTTAGCTGTTTCTCTCTTCTTTATATATATATATATATATATATATATATATATATATATATATATATATATATATATATATATATATATATATATACTAGGATTATATTTTTTTTTGTAATCCTATGTTTCTATGTAATAATTTTGTTCAAAAGTAATGAAAAAAAGTATTATTTTAGTTCTTGAAAAAGAACACCCCCAAACTGAAAATTTGATTTTGCAATATATACAATAAGGGTAAAAAATTAAAATCTTTCAAATACTTATATATGATTTAAGAAATTTCACAAATAAACTAAATTATAATGTTCTTCATTCTTTTTTTAACTAAAATACATCAAATTATGATACAGGAAATCAATTATTTTACAAAATAACTGTAATATATACACACACCCATTACATTGGGTGTATATATATATATATATATATATATATATATATATATATATATATATATATATATATATATATATGTATTAATAGTATTACTTGGATGACTCAACTTTGTAGACACCTGAGGGCAAATTGTCATCCAGTAAAAAATTGAAGTAAAAAAAGAAAGAACTAAAACCATCAGAACAAGGCGAAAAAATCATCAAGTGTCTTAAGTTTCAACTAAACGAATCTTCAGGTTAAACTGGCTAAAAAAGAAAATGGCAGAACAGTATTTATTGATAAAACCTTTAAAAACATAAAACCACATGACAAAAAAAAAAAAAGAGAGAGAGAATAGAAAAACCAAATCACTATTCTAATAACCAGGCTCTCCTATGCCTACACTTATTATGTATCTCGGATTGTTTATTTAATAAATTCTTAGGTTTCTTATAGGTGATGATTGCTATAAGTGATGATTGCTAATTATATATATGGGCATATGGTCAAGTGGTTAGAATGTTCACATTCTGACCATGAGACCTGGATTCGAGTCTAACCATGGTTCATTTGTCAGGAAGGAAACTGGAGGGGTCAATCCCAGTGTGCAGCACCTTTGGAAAGTGCCTGAAAACTGCACCACAGGTTAACACAAGCTTTGTGAGTGAATTTGGGTAGACAGAACATTGAGGGCCATCAATAGATGTGCTAGCACAAAGTCACAAGTCATCGTGGCCAAGGGCCTGAGCGTGCTGGCCTTGTACAAATTGTTGATCATGCTAGATAATATGCTCTTTCCCAGAAACTGTAACTAAGGTTTGCTCAGCATAGTTGCTGTATAAACCAAGAGTGCCTGAGCAAGCATCTATAATAGGGATTGGCTAACCACCCTAGTGGACAGGTATCCTTGAATAGGAGTAGTCAGCTATATATATATATATATATATATATATATATATATATAGAAAGAGAGGGTAATTAAAAATAAAACAGTGGCTCCTGCTGCTATTAATGCATTGCTCTTCAATTACAAATTGAGCCCTCTTGGCTACTAGCATTTGTATACATCTTGTATATAATATGCTAAAATTTCCCTCTCCCTGCCATGCACCCATAGCTTAGGGGTAGGATCTCTGACTGATGCAAAATTGGTTGAGTTTTGATCCCAGCTTGAAGCAATTGGACATCTTACTCACACTGATGAGCTGAGATACAGCGAAACAGGCTTGTATGTGGATGACTATATATATATATATATATATATATATATATACACACACACATATTCATAGAAATGCAGTTGCAAACATATACAGGGTTATGCCAAAAGTAAATAGATATTTTTCTTCTGATTAAAATTTCTTATGATTGAAATTTGATGGACTTGCCATCAACAGATTTTAAAGATTTCACGTTTTTAAGCATTGGAATTATCAGATCTGCTATTGTCTTTTCTGGGATATTCAGCTGAAATACTTTGGAAACACGAACCAAATCTTCTTTCAAAGAATGTTTTCCAGGCGTTTTCTTTATTTCCCAATCCCAAATGGTACAGACGTGTTTAAAAGGATTTATGTCAGGAGACATCGAAGAATCCAGAAAGGGATTATTTTAGTTGTTTGAATCACAATGTTAGGAGCTTTCAAATCTCAAGCCATCCAAAGATGAATGTGGGTGGCATCTGGTGAATATTCTTGGATAGATTTATTATTAACTAGCAGTAGAGCCTGGTGTTGCCCGGGGATGTAACAGTAAGAGATAGATCAAGTATCGACCATCATAAAGACTGGAAAATAAAATTGACAAATATTATTGTTTAAGGTTGACGGACACGCATGTCTTAATTAGTTTTTTTTTTTTTACGAATTGGTCAAACCCAAACTCAAACAAAAACATTGTTTTCAATCGTTATGAGTCTATTGATTGAATAGAATTTTATTAGAAACAATTGTCTTGTAAATGGAATTTTTAAAGCACCCTGAATGTAAAAATAAAAAAAAAAGTGTGCAAGACAATAAGAAACACTACCTGCCAAAAAAAAAGTGAAGTTTTGTTGAAATCGGTTGAAAAATGTAGGAAATCCGATCCCATATATAAAGGAACACAGACACACACACACAAATAACCTGGGTTTTATAATAAGTATAACTCGATATGAATTGTCCCCCTTTCATTCTGGTGACAGATTCGTGTTTTATCATGTTTTATTCATGATTTTGTGCAAAAACAATTGTGTTTTTTCTATTTTTGGCGCTGTCAGAACCACTGCAAGGTAATTTTATGCAGTCCTATGAAATCGGTTGAAAAATGTAGGAAATCTGATCCAATATATAAACATACAGACACACACACACACACACACACACACACACACACACAATCTGCATTTTATAATAAGTAAGATAATAATATCAAACCTTTCTTGATTACTGAAGAACCTGGAACATAAAAGAGTCAGGTAATAATCATTATAGGAAAGCCAAGAAAGAATTATAACTATTCAGACCATAGTTAGCATTGTTGAAAATACTCAGCCTTTTGATACAGAAGTCAGGATACTTAATGCCACTTGATCCTCAGTGAGAATCTCCATATTACTTTGCCATGAAATATTTATAAGAGTAAAATTCAAATATTTTTCTGGAGCTACAAAGTTGAATTACTGCAAATTATTAAAA